AAGAATTCGTTCACCATGTAAGAACTTGTTCGTTATGCTTCAGAAGATTGGAGACTGACGAGAATTAGGCTTGAGATGGATTAATGATTGTACATTGAGCATTGACCCCCCTATACTGAATTTTATTGTTGTTAGCAACCATTTGATCAATAAATATGAGAGATGCCCTCTCAGAAAAAAAAATCTAAAGGAAAAAAAAAAAAGTTGAACATGCCAAATTGTGGAGAAATTATAAATATACTAAAGTGTTTCTGGAAGTTTCTGAGTCAAACCCAAGGCAGACCTCTGCTCATGTGTCCTTGTGCCCTCTCTGGGGAGGCTGGCCAGGCACGCAGTACCATAGATCAAGGGAAACAGTGTAACTCTTACCTGAATATGGGGGCCCCGGAGGGCCTGGGGGGCCTGCTCGGCCAGGTTGACCAGACGGCCCAGGCTTGCCCGGCAGACCCATAACTCCATTATCTCCTTTCTGCCCCTGACAGAGAGAAAGGCAGAGCCTGTCATGTAGCATGGCATGGCAAACTTGCTTCCCACTTACCTCTAAATCAGAGACCAACTTGCCTTTGGAGCAAAGGCCCAGGGCAGGAGGCCATCCCAGAGATGTAGACCAATAAACTCCTAAAAAGCTCAGGGCAAGTGACATTGGAGATAGTGATAGCTACAAGTTTGCAGACATACCTTCTTGCTCTGTCCTAGAAACATGGTTTATGAGGGCCGAAAGGAACCGATTCAACCCACTCTCCTCACCTGCGGATGGGGACACGGAGGCTCAGAAAAGAGCGAAGACTGACGCAAGTTGCCCAGCACCGAGGCAGCAGAGCTGGGCCCAGGACTCAGGCCTCCTGCTTCCTCATCACAACCGTTTCCCTCCCATCATAAGAGCTGTTTCTATCCATTGGCTCGTGTAGCTTGAAGTAAAGACCCAGCTCCTCACTGCAGCCTACAAAGCCCAGCGTGGCTCAGCTTCCCAGTCGCAACCCAACCTTTCGGTGTTTTTGGTCTTCAAGAACACCATGCCTCTGATTTCCCTTCTCAAGGCTCTCCTCTCTGCCCCAAAGTCCCCTCTCTCCCCTCCGCCTGGCTGACTCTCTCGCATCCTGTAGCTCTCAGCTATAAGGCCGTTGCAGCAAAGCTTCCCCTGACCTTGCCGGGCTGACTGAGTTCTCCCCATCCCCATGAGATGAGGTGGGCCCTTTTCCTTCTTCGCATTTATTCCAGATCATAAGTATGCATTATTAGCAGGGCCGTTTCATCAGAGTGTCTCCGAGACACAAGCTCCCTATGGGCTAGAACTGGTCTTGTTCACCTGCCTTCCCCAGATTCAGTGGGGGAGGAGGAAGAAGCCAGAAACCCGGAAGGGAGGGGTTTGGTGGAGCTGTTAGGAGACCTGGGTTTCACTGTGTCCATGAGACCCTGGGTGGCTCATCTCATTGCTCTCTGCCTCAGTTTTCTCATCTGTAAAGTGCAGCCAGTAGATAAACACCTGCATAGTTTTGTTGTGACGCTAACAGAGATCTCAGAGGTAGAAAAGCGGTTTGCACAAAGCTATGTTGGGCAAGCTGATCTTCACAGCCACTGCATTGGAATCACCTTTGTCATGGGATTAGAGGTCCTTCTTTCTCAGATGGGGTTGTGCCTACAGCTGTACATTCCACATGGGGTGCCCTCTTTGTTGCCTGTTCTGGGAGGATTAAGAGCAAAGATTTTTCCTGCAGGGCTGCTTGTAGGAATGACCACAGAAACCAAAGCCTAGAGGTTCTTCCCCTGAACAACTTGCTAATTTCCCCCTCTTGCTCTGGACCTAAACAAGACAGTGATTGATGCCCGACATCTCTGGCCTGGATTCCCTTTCTATACCTGTTCCTTGGCAGGCTTGCCCACCTCATGAAACACAATTTTCCCCACATCTGGGAAACAGGCATGCCGGGCACGCCTTTCCAGTAACAATGGTGACGTGTGACTCGCCGCATCATCAGCATGGCCCTGCGGGCCCTCTTGGCATGTCCAAGGAGTTCTTAAACCCTTCATTGGGGCTGCATGAGGTCAGAGTTTGTTTCCAATTCCATCCTGATGGAGGGAGTTCTTAAGTCTTGCCCAAACTGGATCATTCCTTGAGAGGAACCAAGACAGGTCCCAGAATGGCAGGCAAAGGAAGGTGGTGGTGGCTTCGTATAGCCAGAGGTAAGGCTTGCTTTTCTAGCAGCTGCGTCCACTGACCATAGGCACAGGCAGTGTGGTGGCCTGTAGGAGCTGGAAGCACTCCGTGACTGACACCAGCCGAGCAGAATATTCTGCTCGTCGGTCATCTGCTCAGAACAAGCCATGTCTCCAGGGCCCGGGCTCCCTGAGCAGTGCTTTCCAGGAAAGGCTTTGTTTCCTTATTGCCACAAAGTTTGGTGATCCTCTCAGGGAAGTTGTCCTGTTCCTTAACTGAAGATTTATATGGTAAAGTCAAGAGCTGTTTTCTCAGACCTGGTTGAGGGTAAGTCCTGAAGGCAGAAAGGATGACGGGACATGGTGTGGGAAAAACAAGCCTCAGCTCTTCCAAGCCTGGCTTGGAAGCTGGCTTAGCTGAGGGGCCCTGGGCAGGCCACTCTACCTCCATGGCCCTCACTCCCCTGAAACTAGAAGGAGGGGATGAGATGAGGTGGTCTCTAAAATCCTGGCTCTGAATCTCTAATCTCCTGAAATCCTTTCTGAACTTCTGATGATCAACTTATAACCACCTCCAGGAACTCTAAGCACCATTGACCCAACAACACTTGATATATAAGAGTCTACTAAGAACTGAATTCACGATAAAAAGAAAGTACCATGGCAGGCTCCCACGGCTAAAGACTGAAGTATCTGCTGATGAGATAGGCTCTGAGGGCTCAGAGAACTCAGCCTGTTTATAGCATCTTGTAGGAAGGGTGAGTTCATTCCCCTCACTTCTCTGAGCTCCCAAACATAGTTCTGGTGTAGTTATTAAGATGAATCATTCTCAGCAGGGTCAAGAAATAGTGTTCTTGGCTTCAGTCCTCAACAGGAAAACAAACACTGCCTCAGAAAAGAACCAGAGGACAGAATCCAACTGGTTTCCTGAACCCAAGCATAAAAAGTTCTGGATGGAAATCAGCAGTAGGGGGGGAAATGAGAAACAAAAAATGTATTTTTTCCCTTTTTTCCTTCTTTTTCTGAGTCTAGTTTTTGGAAATGGGTATCTGTAGCATCATCGTGATGCCATGGCCATGCCACCATTATAAGACTTTGAAAATTGCGCTGGAACACTGTGACTTCAAAAGTCATTATGGAACCTGAATTATCCAGGTTGGAACCTGTTTCATTCCTAAGCTCCCTGGGAAAAGACCAGAATTGGCTTCATAGCGTTCCCATTGTTCTGAACCTTGGCTCACATTAGAACTGCGTGGACAGCTTTAAAAAAACAACATGCCATGCTGAAACCCATGCCAGGCCAATTACATCAGAGCCTTTGGGAGAAAGGTCTCGGTATCAGGGATGATGAGAGAGAAACTCAGGACCACAACCACTGCCCCCAGGCTGGGAATCTGTTTCCTATCAGCCCCAGGTGACTCTGCTGTAAGCTGAAGAACCACAGATCTAGCCTAAGGAAAGAAGGGAAATATAAGACCAGAAAAAGGTTTCCAGCCAAGGATGTTTGCCTCTTAGCATTATATATAATTTGGTTAGATCTCTCAGGTCCAAACAATCTGTTGCTTACTCGTTTACTAAAATGTCATGCAGGCATTTAAAAAAGATGCTTAAAATGTTCAATGAATATCCACAGTAATGAGCAAAAATGTGTGTTGTGATTTTAATTTAAAAATTTAGAACAGAATAGCAATATATTGGATATAAAAGAAACAAACAACTAGAAAGTTCACAAAGAAATAACACTGGGAGGAAATATTCCAAAATGCCAGAATATACCTGGGTGTTAGGTCTTTAGACGATTTCCCGTCTATTTTTCTGAATTATCCAAGTTTTCTGTGATGATTGTATATAACATTCATAATGGGAAAAGAGGTAAGAAGCCAACAAACTGACAACGAAAAAGTAAAGGGGCACATCTCTTCGGAATGCCTGTCAATTAGGGAAAGATGAGAGATTTCTCTGACACTCACAGCTCCCAAGCCAGCCAAGGCAGACGCACCTGCTTCCCTGTCTCCGTCACATCGCATGGTTTGACCCAGAGCCTGCTGACCAGGGGAGTTCAGAAGGAACAATTTCCCTAAACACTTCATAGTGCCAGCGAGGAGGGTCACTTACAGATTGAATGTCTGATCATACTGTTGAGATTCAGAAGACCCTTTAACAGCAGGGGAATATCTGGGCTGTTCTTTGAAACTCCATTTGTGTATGGACATTGAGGCAAAAATCAGGCTTTCTGGGTGAGTGACCAGATCTGGCTTCTACTCCCAGCTGCTTTGGTTAAGACATACCTGTTCTTAGGAGCCAAAGATCCACTCTTGCTTCTGGCCTTGTACATGGTTTGAACAGAACATCCTGTCTCATCTGCCTCAAACTATGGCTAACCTAGAGAAGCCAGGATCTCTTGGAAATGCTGCTGTTTCTGCACACCTGCCCAGAGGATGCTGGAGACTGTCTATGGCATATCTCTACCTGGCCCCACCCACCTGCCCCTTTACACTCTTCAAGGTCAGAAGGTTCTGACCTCAGGGGCATGGTAAGCCCAGGATCCTTACCTGCTTGCCTCGTTTTCCTGGTCTTCCTCTGGGTCCCCGGTGTCCTGCTATCCCAGGCTCACCCTTTGGACCCATTTCACCCTGCAAAGAAAAAAGAGAAGCAAGAGAGGAATTAGGGTGTGCAGAGCAGGCACATCTCTGCAGGTCTGTAAATCACTGGTCACAAGGGCAGTGCACCGGATCATTCCAGGTCTTTTCCAAGTGGGAGATTAGGAGAGTGATGAGGTTGTGGGAATGGCAGACAGGGTTTTCAAGGAAGGAAAGGAGAGGTCACCCTGGCCAGGTTATTAATCATCTGAGATGGCCACTAGGCAGCACACATTCTGTTGTCCCACACACCAGAATGGCTAATGCAGGAGGCCCTGCGTCTCAGGCACACATGTGTCTGTGGTGCTACAAGCTGTCACGGAAAAGTACTTACTCTTTTACTTGAAATTTTGTGCTGTGTTTTGTTTTGTTTTTAGCACAGATTCAAATCTATGGGTTTTTGAATGACTGGACACAGTTTTGACAACTACCATCTTTGGAAAGTTTCTCTCACATAATAATCATTCCTCAGGGCTATACATATCCCCACTCTTCAGCAAAACTGGTTTGTGTTCCAGCTCACTTCCACTTGATTTAGTTGAAAACTCTTTGTGGGGAGAGATGTTCCAGGCATATATTCAAATATTCAATAAAATTATTGTAGCAATTCCTCACTGAAAAGCCTGTTTGAACCATCACACTTCTATCCACAGTTTAAAGCCAACCTTTCATAAAACCCACTTCTCCATTTTAGTTGCTCTCCTTCCCATTGTGTTCTCTAGGATTCCAGGCCCACTTGCTGTTTCTCTGGATCACAAACCACAGGGCATCATTCCTGCCCCCAGTAATCCCTCGATGGCCCAGAATGCACCAACAGACTAAGTTTAGTGATAGCGACCACGAGTGTTCCTGTGAGTCATCAGCCAGCATCCAGGAAGAGCTGCCCTGGCCATTCTGAGAGAACAATAAACACCCAGACAGCCTTTCACAGGTCAGGGGAGGTACGCCATGGAAAATTCCAGGGAACACCTACATACAGTAAGAAGCAAGCATAGAGCTCTGGAATCACATCACTCAGCCAATGGAACAGAGTTGTCCCTACCCAAGTCACCAACATCTTGCTTCAGCACGAATTGTCCTTAAACCTGTGATCTTCCAGTTCATCATGTCCCTTAGCATTCTGGGCAGTGAGCGGGTGAGAGGACAGGATGCATTCTATGTGGCTGTGGGGGATGTTTGTACAATTTCCCCTTGGCTGTTTGCAGGGGCCAAAAGCTGTTTTGTTTGGCTGGGAGAAAACAGCAGCATAAACACCATAGTTTTTTTATTCTGTTTTTAGATTTTCAGAAAGAGTGTGGCCCTTCTCTTCAACTGGAAGCAGCCAGTAAGTTCTTGATCTAATTTCTCTCCGAAGACCTAATTATGGTTATCATATCAGTTCTGTCTTCAAACAGCCTGCATGAGAGGGAGAGAGAACTGGAGATGGCAAGTTGAGTAAATGATGTCCAGACCAGAGAAGCTGCCACACTTACTTTTACAGTAATTTATTATTCTTTGATGTTCATTGTTGCACTGAGTGAAAACCTAGCCTAAACATTTTAAAATAAAATCATTTTTTCTCTTTTAATGTTTCCTTTAACTTGCCTATATGATTAATTCATTTTTAACTCAACACTCCATCTAGGGTAGCAGGAGAACAGGTTTTGACAGCCAGTGATAAATTATAATAAATTAATGTCAGATGACTGAGATTATTTAAATATGCTCTATTGATTGGAGCAGGCAGATCAAAATTGTTTATGCAAGTTTGGAAAATAAAACTTTAAAGTGAAGTTGAAAAAAAGTTAGAATTCCAAGAAAGCATCCATTTGCATGTTTGAGGAATATTCTTCTCCATTTTAGGTTAAAAACGATTCCCCATGTCAGTGCCTGTGAGCAGGAGGAGCCGCCACTAGGATGGCAAGTCAGGAGGCACTCTCCCCCTGCGGCCGTGTGTGTGTGCCCTGTTCAGCCTCTGATGTGCGTGAGCCCTCTCTTCAGCCTCTGACGTCTCCGCCCCTTCCACTCCTCTTCCCCAGACCCAGCCCTCAGTACAATTTCCAAAACTCTGCCAATCACCACCTTCACCATTTTAGTCATAGCTACACAACATTTTATATATATTTATTGTGAACAACAAGGAAATTTACTGTTACTTACTGAATATTTTTTCTTTAAGTTAATGGAATTCACTTTTTTTAATCAAGCCTCGTCCCAGGCAAGATATCTAAGAAATCCCACTCAATATTTAAACATTAAATTGGAAATTTAAGTTTAAAATAAAACATGTCTGCACTCAGCTGAAACACTTCTGCGTGCCTCCAGGGGGACACGTGCCTCCTCGAAGGTGTGCTGAACCGAGTGCAGTCTGCGGCGGCTTCCGGATGCCCGTGCCTCCCACTGGTCCCTCTGCCACGGCTGCCCAAATCCGGGCCCCGACGCAGGGCCCTCTGCTTTGGAACATCGTCCCCGCCAGCTAAGGGGCGGCAAACTCCAAGAAGGCCTCTGTCCGCCCAGGCCACTCTGCCACCCTGCCACCGCCCTGCTCTCCTGCCACCAGGAACCCTCCGCAGCTAGACCCACTCCCCTGCCTGCGGGACGGAGAGGAGGAGCCCTGGGTTTGCCCCCAAGGTCTAACCTGAGGCCTGTTTTTATTGCTCCCAGGTACTTACTTTCTGCCCCAACATTCCAGGAAATCCCGGGACACCCTGTGAAGAGAGCAACGCAGACAGCGACGCCTGAGAGGAGGCTCGGAAGGGCTGTGGGGCGCGCCTGGGTCTCATCGGCCAGCCAGGAGGCCCGTGGAGCGGTGGGCGGGGCCGCCACTTCCCCGGGGGGTTACTATTTATTATTTAAATATGCTCTATTGATTGGAGCAGGCAGATCAAAATTGTTTATGCAAGTTTGGAAAATAAAACTTTAAAGTGAAGTTGAAAAAAAGTTAGAATTCCAAGAAAGCATCCATTTGCATGTTTGAGGAATATTCTTCTCCATTTTAGGTTAAAAACGATTCCCCATGTCAGTGCCTGTGAGCAGGAGGAGCCGCCACTAGGATGGCAAGTCAGGAGGCACTCTCCCCCTGCGGCCGTGTGTGTGTGCCCTGTTCAGCCTCTGATGTGCGTGAGCCCTCTCTTCAGCCTCTGACGTCTCCGCCCCTTCCACTCCTCTTCCCCAGACCCAGCCCTCAGTACAATTTCCAAAACTCTGCCAATCACCACCTTCACCATTTTAGTCATAGCTACACAACATTTTATATATATTTATTGTGAACAACAAGGAAATTTACTGTTACTTACTGAATATTTTTTCTTTAAGTTAATGGAATTCACTTTTTTTAATCAAGCCTCGTCCCAGGCAAGATATCTAAGAAATCCCACTCAATATTTAAACATTAAATTGGAAATTTAAGTTTCAAATAAAACATGTCTGCACTCAGCTGAAACACTTCTGCGTGCCTCCAGGGGGACACGTGCCTCCTCGAAGGTGTGCTGAACCGAGTGCAGTCTGCGGCGGCTTCCGGATGCCCGTGCCTCCCACTGGTCCCTCTGCCACGGCTGCCCAAATCCGGGCCCCGACGCAGGGCCCTCTGCTTTGGAACATCGTCCCCGCCAGCTAAGGGGCGGCAAACTCCAAGAAGGCCTCTGTCCGCCCAGGCCACTCTGCCACCCTGCCACCGCCCTGCTCTCCTGCCACCAGGAACCCTCCGCAGCTAGACCCACTCCCCTGCCTGCGGGACGGAGAGGAGGAGCCCTGGGTTTGCCCCCAAGGTCTAACCTGAGGCCTGTTTTTATTGCTCCCAGGTACTTACTTTCTGCCCCAACATTCCAGGAAATCCCGGGACACCCTGTGAAGAGAGCAACGCAGACAGCGACGCCTGAGAGGAGGCTCGGAAGGGCTGTGGGGCGCGCCTGGGTCTCATCGGCCAGCCAGGAGGCCCGTGGAGCGGTGGGCGGGGCCGCCACTTCCCCGGGGGGTTACTATTTCTGTGCAACGGCGATTACCTTTTCTCCTTTGGAACCCAGATCACCCCTTTCGCCTCTGGACCCCTAGGAGGAAGCCAAGGAGAGCGTCAGTGGGTCAATACCTTGCAGGGGAATTTGGAGTGTTTCAGAGTGAAAGCTCCCTGGCCGACACTTCACTTCACAGGCGAAGGAGTAGGCCAGAGATTAGGCAGCTGCCCGGGGAAGGAGCACTTTGTGATCTTCCTTCTGCCTAGATCCCAAGGACCTCTTGCATTAATAAAGGACAACGGAGAGAAAATTCTGGGTCCCAGATCCTCTGTCATCCTTTGGGAAATTTGTTCCCAAGCTCTGGCTGGTTTTGTTTTTGACAGATGAGGCTGTGTGTTGGAAGCTTGGCCTAAAGACACACCTCAGCCATCTTCCTCCAGCACCCCTGCAAGCTGTGGCCACTGTCCCCTCACAGCCTTCGGCTGCTCATCTGCCCCGTGTGAGGGCACCGGGAGCTCTTCCCCGACCTGCCTGCCCTGCCTCAGGAGGCCCCTTGCTTCTCTCCCAGCCCACTGACAAAGGACAAGGGGACATCGAGGAATGGTCCCTGCAGTTGCTGACCAGAGACCAGGGCCTGTCCTCTGCTCATCACCGACCCCACTGCTGGTATCCCAGACCAGGCTCCTGGAAGCTATCAGAGGCCAACACTAACCTTTTCCCCTCTGGATCCGGGGGAGCCCTGAAAGTAAGCAGAAGGTACATTCACAATCAGCCCAGCAGGACCTTTGGGCCTGGTGGAAAAGCAGAAGGAATCCCTGAATGTGGTGGGGAAGTGCCCCTGCACTGCCCTGCAGGTTGGACGAGGGTTGCTGTAGTAAGCACAGAGATGTCCCTGAGGGCTGAGTTTACATCAGATCTTAAAACCATACTGCTTTTCTTACCCTCCAAAGGCCAGAACAAAATTTTTCATCTGCTTTGTTGCCCAAAGGCTTGACCCTCACTGCCCAGGAGAACAGCAGGAATGCCAAGCCAGGGGCATGACGGGGTGGTAAAGGCAAGTATTCTGGCTCTGGGGTCCCCAATACCTGTGACGTTCCCCAGCCCAGGACAGCAGCCCCACTCAGTCCCCCACTTTGTGGACAGTAGCTGCTCTGGAGCCTCCGTGAGAAGACCTGAGGACGTCCATCTGGATCAACGCACTGACCTTGGAGCCCATTGGTCCTCTTGACCCTGGCAAACCCATCACACCCAGGTCACCTTTCTCACCCTGTGGGAATTAGAAGAAGGGGGAGAAAGACCTGCAGTGACATTTCCTAGAGAAACGGAACCAGGAGAGTCATGGGCAAGACCAGAATGGAACTTGTCAGGGCTGGCCTGTGAATCCAATGACCCAAGTGCTCCCTTGCTCACTCCCAGGGGCGCAAGACTCCATACTCCACACCCCGCACTTCATTCTAGTATTTGAGATTAAACAAAAATGAAATTGCCCAAGGCAGAGCAGATCTCCAAACCGAATGCTCAGCAAGATGCTATAAGTGGATTGATGCTTGATTTTTCGTAGAGATGGTGGTGAGAGGGTGGGGAGAAAGCGTGAGGGCTCTGGGGCCTCAGAGGGCAAGGTATCAGCACCCAGAAAAACTTCACCTGCTTTGCTTTTTGCATAGGAAGGGCCTTTCAGACATCTCCCTATACTTTCACCCTAGATTTGCAGCCAAGCAGGGTGAGCATCAGCCTCTTGGTGCACACTACAGAGGCCGGGGGCCGAGACTCTGGGCAGCCTCTGTTGCCCCTCAGCATGAGCAGTTTGCAATTGGAACTTTCAGCACCCTCTGTGTTAAAAAACAACAAAACAAAACAAAACAAAAACTTCTATACCAGGGCCAAAAAGTAAAAATGTAAGGTGAGACACATACTTAACTGAAACATGTTTTAGAAGTCATATTAGAAATAAAATGGGGGAAATTCATTTGAGCAGCACATTTCATTTACTGTAATCTGATTGTCATTTCAATATATAATCAATATTATTAATGAGATATTTACATTCCAGTAATAATAAATATTTGAAATCTGTGTGTATTTTACATTTACATCACATCTCAATTCAGGCATTACATTTTCATCCAAAATACTTGATCGGTATTTAGATTTCATAAAACTTACAGTTGACAAAACAGGTTCACACATTCAAGTTGCTCCAAAGATACTTAAAAGTTTTCAAATAACTGAATTAAAGGTTTTTTAATTCAAATTCGAATTAATTAAATTGAAAAAATTCTGCTCAACAGTTGCCCTAGCCACATTTCAAGGGCTCAATCTGGTTGCTGCCATACTGGACAGCTCAGTTCTATACAGAGGATTTTAAAAGAAATATCCTTGGAACTCTTCCTGAGAGGACTGGGAACACAGTTTTCTGTTTCTATAATCAGTACAGCCAGTGAGTGAATCAGAGCAGATAGCGACATTCACCTGCCCACCCCGACCTATGCAGGTCGAATTTCCAAGTCATGACCTCTGTCTGCACCCAGGAGTCCACGACCAAAGTGGGGACATAAATGAAGCACAGGTGTGGGTGTGTTAGCTTTTCACTATCTGTCTGAGGAGAGGGATTTCATTCGCATTTGGCATTAACTCTTTAAATGTAGGATTTCAGTCACTGCGGCCAGCCAATGCCTACCCCTCACCCCTCCACCCCGCAGCCAGATCAGCACAACAGCCCCAGCTATCCAGACACAAGGCACCCTTGGGTCATCTCAGGAAAACCAAAGGAGTGCACGCCGACTCTGAGGATAGAGTAGAGATGGCCCGTGAGCAGGGGAGCAGCCCTCACTACTCCCCAGGAGCAGCTGTTGGATGGCCCAAGGTCTTGCCATCTAAGTGGAGAGGGGGGTGTTCTGGGGCCCCTGGGCAGCCCTCGAGCTCTCCTCCTTCCCCAGGAAGTGAGTCGCAGTCTGCACTGGAGCCAGTGGAGCCGCCATCTCTCTTGTGCCCTGACACCACATGAGCCATGACGGCAGGCCGCACTTACCCTGGGTCCTTCAGGGCCTGGCCAGCCGGCCGGCCCAGGCATGCCTGGAACACCCGGGGGGCCAGGTCTCCCCTTCAAAGATGAAGAACAAATGTCAGCACAGCTGGGTTCATTTCCCTCCTTTCAGGAAATAAGGTTTGTTTCTGGGGCCCAGAGGGAGTATGGGGCACCCAAGCACGACCTCGGCACCCTCACCCTCACCCTCACTCTCTTAAGACTGATGCCTAGCAGGCTGGGTCACTTAGGTACAAGCTAAAGCCCTTGGAGTCATACTGGGTCGACAGGCAAGGTCTTACTCTTCTCAAGAAATGGAAGGTGGTGGGGAAGGGATTCTAAATTTCTTGTTTTTTTCATCTTTATCACCTCTGTCCACCTAATGTCCCTGCATTCCTTTCCAAAGATGCAGTGTGGGTTGGTAGGATCATGTTTGGGGTACAGCAGTAGATGCTGACGGTTCTCCCTCAAGGCCTTTTCCACTGCTCAGGGCGCCCATCCCCAATAGTGGCCTTCCTTGCTGCCATTCATTCCTGCAGCCTGTAGCCTGGCCACTACCTGTGGCCACCTGGAGCTGTCTAGCAATTTATCTACCGCCCTTTCCTACAGCAGATAGTTCCCTTCCCTCAAGGCAGGACAAACTGCAGTTCGAACTCCCGAGTTCCCCGGGTGTGAGGCTGAAGGGGGCTCCTGCAACACCATGCCCACAATGGGCTTCCCCAGACCCCCAGCCCATCACTCTCCCTCCCTTGGCTCCTCCTGTCACTCATTCACTCCCTTAGGAACTCTTCCATCTGCACATGGAATGTGCTGTCTCTATCTCTGCTTCTAAGGAACTCAGTTTAAGCTGGGAGGTATGGAAGAACAGGCCCTAAAAGAGAGAGTGGGAGCAGGGACTTGGAGACTACTTTGACCTCGGCATGCCTTGGTTAATTTCACAGTTAGCCTAGCTAGGCATGTGGGAGGCTCAGCCCCTCAGAGATCACAAACGCAGGCACATGTACTGGTTTCTACTCTTGCCTCCCACATCCATGGCAGAGATCACTAACCAGTCATGGCCCTCGTAGGTTTTGAGCATGGAGATGGTCCCAGAATCAGACAGCCACTGGGCCTTGGCTAGAGTTGTCATCTGTGCCCTGAAGGGTTGTAATTTTGCTTTCCAAAGATCTATCTGAAGCTTCCATTGATATGAAGCCATTTGAATAAAACATTTAATCAGAAAAACAATAATTTATACTTAGAATCATGACTATCTTTCCTGGCCAGAGTTTTGCACCAAGACCTACAGTTTCAGCTCCAGCATCCACTGATCATGTCATGGGGCTGCTTGTCTACTCTTTTCCAACATGAATGAGAGTCTTGATACACGTGTTTGGTTTATCACCTCTGCCCACCCAATGTCCCTGCATTGGGTGACCTTAAGTAATTCCCATATATTTCAGCTAGGCCAACAAACAGAAGCCAATTGTTTCTGTCGGTTTGGCACTTTATTGCAGTTTAATCAAATAGACAGTGAGAGTCATTTTGTGCCACTGGTTGGGGCCCTGGAAGATTTGTGTGATGGGTGACAGGAAGCCTGGCCAGGCATAGCAACCCCAAGGTGAAGTCCCAAAGGCTAGCAGTAGACAGTGACTGTGAAGGGGTATGTGGGGGGGGACTTGGTGAAGGGGGGGACCTAGTAAACATAATGTCCTTCATGTAATTGTAGATTAATGATACCAAAATATAAATAAATAAATAAATAAATAAACCCAAAGGCTAGCAGTAGAGGCTCCAGCTCCTGATGGCAGGTGTAGTCAGAGAGAGCGAGGCTGCTATGCTCACGGCCAGGACACAGTGCCCGCCTTGTCCCCCTGGGCACTGGGCTGCCAGTTCCCCCACCCGAGGAGTACATACACACTCACACACATGTGGGGCACAGGTGCCTGTGTAATGCTGACACAGCAGCATGGACCATACCTTCCTTCCTGGTAGGCCAAGCTCCCCCTGTGGACAGAGAAGACAAGTAAGCAGAGGCTGCTTTGGGAAAGAAGTTCTAGAAGGGGACAGCTTAGTAGGGCTGATGGCAGGGCATGACCATGTGGCTTGGTGGCTTGGCAGCACCCCTGCCGTGTCCGAGGGCAGAGCCGAAATGCATGGATGGGAGTCCCACTCCCCAGCAGCAGCCAGTCATCACAGCTCCCTTCCTCATGCACAGAATTAGCACATGCTTTGAAATCCCAAGCGGAGAAGCCCCAGTGGCACCCCCAGGAAACAGGCTGGGGTCACCAAGGAGGTCTGGAGAACGTAGTGGCTCCTACCTTCGCTCCCTTTGGCCCTGTCTTGCCAGGAGGCCCTGGTGGACCCTACACAGTCAAGATAAGAAGTGAAGAAAGTGTTTATTCACCCAACGCAGGGCGAGTGGTGAGGGGGCAGGACGGGAAGAGGCTCTGGGGCAGAGGGCTCCTGGCTCTCCATGTAGACTCTGGCTCTTGCAACTCCGGGGACCCTCCTGTGCCTCCAGCCCAACCTCCTCCTCTGACAGCTTCCTCTGGGCTCTGTTTCCAGCGGGCCCATGGCTGCAAAGTTCACACAACTCTGTGACTCTTTCTCCCTGGGATCCTGGGATCCTAAGACATCCTGAGTGCTTGTTGGGAGCAGCTAAAAGGTCTTGAAGGATGCTTTTTGTCAGAAACAATACACTTCAGCCCCTCTCCTATCTTTTCAGCTGCTCTCACCAAGCTTCCCTGGGGCCCTGATCAGAAGGAAATCATGCTTGGCACACAGGAGCAGCAGACTTAGAAATTCTCGTGGTGGGTCCATGTGTACCAGGTGTAGTGAGAGTCTTTTTTAAAACATTAAGAATGTGGGTAAGTAGGGGACTTGATAATGGGGGGAATCTAGTAACCACAATGTTGTGCATGTAATTGTATATTAATGATACCAAAAAAAAAGAAAAAGAATGTGGGTAAGTAAACATGGCATTTTTGTCCCACTGCCCAGACTCAGGAGTGGGCTGACTCCAGCCCAGGGACTCTGGCACCCACTGAACTAAAGCTTACACCCCCACAGCCAGAACGCAGCTGCTCTCTGCTCATACATCTATGAAATGCTCAGTTGGCCAACTGTTTTTCAAATTCCCCAGTACATCAGAGAGGAAATCCCTCAAACCCTTGCAGGCCACTACTTCATCCTCAAGCTCCACTGGTGAACACACCCAGCACAAAGCCCAGCACAAAGCCTGGTGAAACAGGATTCCTATGAGACTTGTCCAAATGACCAAGAGCTCCTCAGACCGTAGTTCCTACATGCACATTAGAACCCCCTGGGGATCTTTTGAAAATCCCCCAAACTGGGCCATACATTACATGAGCATCAGGAATTTTTGAAAATTTCTAGGGGATTCAAATGTGCAGATAAATTTGGCAACTTCCCTGTCTTTGGTCTCTTTCTATTTTGGAGAGGGAAGGAGGCAGAGTTTTGTTCCATTCTCTTTGTTCTTATTACCAAACCTCAGGTTTCCCATTTCTTGTCATGGGCTGGGAATATTTCACCAGGCTACTGTGCTCTTGCCTCAGAGCTTCTCCAACTTTGACGTGAAGATAATTGACCCAGGTCTTATTTAAAATGCAGACTCTGACTGAATGGGTGGTGGGTGCTGGCAGGATGAAATTCTGCATTTCACATGGGTTTGCCTGATGTCAGAGATGTGCCAGTGACCAAGGTGGGCAGACCCCCTTTTCTCTCCCATGCTCTGTGTTCCTCCTGTCAGTGTAGATGTCAGGAGGTAGGAAGGTGAGCTACCTCAGAGGTGCTCCCCAGGATGCCCAGCCCCTCTGGGGTAGCCTCTGGCCATCTCTGGGTTCAAAGTTCTGTTTTGTTTATTGCATTCAAAAAACATTTCTGGGCAACCCACTGCACCCCATGTGTGTGTAGCTGGGCACACACACCATGAACAGGTGTCTCTGCTCTCAAGACCAGGGCTTGGTTACCTTGGTCTATAAAGAGCCAGACAGTAAATACCTTAGGCTGTGCCTCTGATAAAGCAACTCTGTCCTTGTAGCATGAAAGCAGCCAGAGACCATAAAGCCTTAATTACAAAGACGTCTGCTGCCAGATTTGACCCAAGGGCCATAGTTTGCAAGCCCTGCCATAGAACTTACATTTTATGGAGAAGAGACCAAAGAGACCAGGAACAAAAACAAACAAACAAGAGAATTATGGGAGATGAGAGAATCAGGCAAATAATTAAAACAGGTCATTAAGATGATGAGTGATGGGAAGGCTACTGCATGTGGCCTGGGTGGCTGAGGAAGGCATTTCTAGGGAAGAGGCATGGACACTGAGTTCTGAACAACAGATGAGCTGGCCATGGTAAAAATCAGAGGGAAGAACATGCCAAGCAGCAGCCAGAGCCACAAAAGCCCTAAAGCTGGAACGAGTTTGAAGTGACTTAAGACACAAGGGCACATGTAGCTGCATCAGGTGGGGAGCTGACAGTTCCTTGTACCCCCATCCCCTCTGGCAGGCCCAGAGCCCCAGGCTGGCCAGAGGAGCCAGGAGATCTTAAGCCAGGGTCTCTGGAGGGACTGTTTACTAGAAATGCTGTTTTCTAACATTCTGCCTGTTCCTCATTCTTCCCTTTAGCTCCAGTGGTTCGGGTGGGCTGCTTGGGGACAGTATCTGAGCCCAGACAAAGGTCAGAGGAACAAGCTCCCTGATGCCTCCACTGAAGGCAGGCCCCTCTGGGTCCACTGGTGGGGTCAATGGTCACATAGAGGCAACCCACTGTCATCAAGTGTTTGAAGACAGCCACAGTAATAACCACACACAACTAGGCAGCAGCTCATCTGGTCCCCCTCCCCTGCCAACCACAATCCAGTCCTGCAGGGGTAATCATCACTCCCATCGCGCAGAAGAGGGAACCAAGGCTGGAGGCCAGAATCTACCCAGAGAGGAACCCGTGTTCTCGCCATGTGGCTCTGGAGTGGAGGTGAGCTGGAGAGGACAAGCAGCTCCCGTATCACATCTGAGGGGAGCTCTAGAGGCCCTGCCCAGGGGCCCCGCTGCTCCCAGCAGACAGCAGGAAGGTGTACCTACCTGAGGGCCAGGAGGCCCAGGGGAGCTGAGCAATCCCTGCATGCATGAGGACTGCGTGGATTCGAGTTCCAGGAGGAGATTCTTCATGTCTTGGAAGAGAAGCTTCAATGCAGAGCAACACAGAGTTAGAGGTCAGACTGGGAGGACAGGGGAAGGGTCACCAGCTTGGGCACAGACCTGCTCCACAGTGCAGTCCCCAAGGTTGGTGGCTCCCTGACACCCAGTGGGGTCCCAAGAGGACAACCTTCTGTGACCCCAGTTTCTGTTCTGTCATCTGCTCTTGAGATATACCTGGCCTGAATGGATTGTAGAGATATGACGGCCACTTTGGGTGGAGTTACAAAGCTCATTTAAGGGGCCTTTACCCAATGGACAGCACTGTCCAATAGAAATAAAATGCAAGCCACCAATGTGAGCCATGCATTTAGTTTTAAATTTTCTGGTAGCCACATTAAAACGGTAAAAGGAAACAAGTGAAATTAGTTTTAATGGTACATTTTATTTAACCTTAATATATCCCAAATATTATCATTTCAACATATATTCAATATGAAATAATTACTAATGAGACATTTTACATTTCATTTCATACTAAATCTTCAAAATCCAGTGTGTATTTCATACAAACAGCAGATCTCAACTTGAACTAGCTACATTAAAAGTGTTCAGTAGCCACACATGGCTAGTGGCTACTGTATTGGACAGTACAGGCCTAAGAATTTCCAGAAAAATCTGAGAATCCCAACTCCTTAAAACACCTGGACTGTTGTCTTCCCAAATCCTGCTCAGACAGCCACAGTAATAACCACACACAACTAGGCAGCAGCTCATCTGGTCCCCCTCCCCTGCCAACCACAATCCAGTCCTGCAGGGGTAATCATCACTCCCATCGCGCAGAAGAGGGAACCAAGGCTGGAGGCCAGAATCTACCCAGAGAGGAACCCGTGTTCTCGCCATGTGGCTCTGGAGTGGAGGTGAGCTGGAGAGGACAAGCAGCTCCCGTATCACATCTGAGGGGAGCTCTAGAGGCCCTGCCCAGGGGCCCCGCTGCTCCCAGCAGACAGCAGGAAGGTGTACCTACCTGAGGGCCAGGAGGCCCAGGGGAGCTGAGCAATCCCTGCATGCATGAGGACTGCGTGGATTCGAGTTCCAGGAGGAGATTCTTCATGTCTTGGAAGAGAAGCTTCAATGCAGAGCAACACAGAGTTAGAGGTCAGACTGGGAGGACAGGGGAAGGGTCACCAGCTTGGGCACAGACCTGCTCCACAGTGCAGTCCCCAAGGTTGGTGGCTCCCTGACACCCAGTGGGGTCCCAAGAGGACAACCTTCTGTGACCCCAGTTTCTGTTCTGTCATCTGCTCTTGAGATATACCTGGCCTGAATGGATTGTAGAGATATGACGGCCACTTTGGGTGGAGTTACAAAGCTCATTTAAGGGGCCTTTACCCAATGGACAGCACTGTCCAATAGAAATAAAATGCAAGCCACCAATGTGAGCCATGCATTTAGTTTTAAATTTTCTGGTAGCCACATTAAAACGGTAAAAGGAAACAAGTGAAATTAGTTTTAATGGTACATTTTATTTAACCTTAATATATCCCAAATATTATCATTTCAACATATATTCAATATGAAATAATTACTAATGAGACATTTTACATTTCATTTCATACTAAATCTTCAAAATCCAGTGTGTATTTCATACAAACAGCAGATCTCAACTTGAACTAGCTACATTAAAAGTGTTCAGTAGCCACACATGGCTAGTGGCTACTGTATTGGACAGTACAGGCCTAAGAATTTCCAGAAAAATCTGAGAATCCCAACTCCTTAAAACACCTGGACTGTTGTCTTCCCAAATCCTGCTCTTGTCCTCTCTTCCGAAATTCTGTTTCCTCTTATACCTCAGTATGGCTACAGGGGGACCGTTTCTGCATCACCTCATGGCAATGGTCCCTGTTAGCACCAGCCGTGGGACACTTGGGGAGAAGAAAAGCAAAAAGGGAAATTCCGTATCTGAGCAGCTGAAGGAAGCCTAGGAATTTACAAGTTCACCTCATTTTTCTCGGGAAGACAGGCACTGCTGGGAAGGAACTTCCTCCAGAACTTATTTAAGGCAGTGGGAGAATGGACACTCACCAGAAACCGCAAAACGTCCATCCCAGGACTCAACATGCTGCCTGAGAATCAAGGGCCAACTCCCTCGGAAAATACTGTGGAGGCAGCCACCTCAAGCCATGGGGGACTCGTGTGGGCGGGGCACGTGGGGAGGGGGCAGGATCGGGGAGAGGGTGAGAGGAGGTGAGTAGGGGACACGGGTGGGGAACCATAGGGGGTGGTGGAGGAGAGTGAAATATGTGGGGAGGGGGACAGGGCGGGGGGCAGGTGTGAGGGGCATGGATGGGCGACACGGCAGGGACTGTGCGGCAGGCCCTAAGGAGACCGCTTTCTGTTTTGTCAGGGGTCCTGGGGGACTCACCAGACCTCGCCCGGCTCTGAAGAATGGTGGCGGGAACAGTGGGGGCGGAGGAGGTGTCAGGAGGCAGCATGCTTTGTGGCTGCCACGCTTCCTCTGGTCCAGGCCAGGAAGGGCTGTTCAGAGAAAACTGCTGCTCATCAGCACAGTGCCAGTGCTGGGGTCTCCGACAAGCCACCTGCCTGGGGGAGGGCCACACTGCCACCCCAGGCTTCTGTATCTGATTACTTTTTTTTTTATTATTATTAAGGTATGATGATATACAGTCTTATGAAGGTTTCACATGAAAAAACAATGTGGTTACTACATTTACCCATATTATCAAGTCCCCACCCAGACCCCAGTGCAGTCACTGTCCATCAGTGCAGCAAGATGCCACAGATCCACTATGTGCCGTCTCTGTGCTACACTGTTCTCCCCGTGATCCCCCAAACCACGTGTACTAAACATAATACCCCTCAGTCCCCTTCTCCCTCCTTCCCCACCCGCCCTCCCACACCCCTCCCCTTTGGTAACCGCTAGTTTATTCTTGGAGTCTCCAAGTCTGCTGCTATTTTGTTCCTTCAGTTTTGCTTCATTGTTATACTCCACAAATGAGGGACATCATTTGGCATTTGTCTTTCTCCACCTGGCTTATTTCAGTGAGCATAATGTCCTCCAGCTCCATCCACATTATTGCAAATGGTAGAATTTGTTTTTTTCTTATGGCTGAATAGTATTCCATTGTGTATATATACCACATCTTCTTTATCCATTCATCTACTGACAGACACTTAGGTTGCTTCCATATCTTGGCTATTGCAAAAAGTGCTGCCATAAACATAGGGGGGCATATGTTTTTTTGAATCTGAGAAGTTGTATTCTTTGGGTAAATTACAAGGAGTGGGATTCCCGGGTCAAATGGTATTTCTATTTTTAGTTTTTTGAGGAACCTCCATATTGCTTTCCACATGGTTGAACTAGCTTACATTCTCACCAGCAGTGCAGGAGGGTTCCCCTTTCTCTGCATCCTCGCCAGCATTTGTTGTTCTTAGACTTTTCGATGCTGGCCATCCTAACTGGTGTGAAGTGATATCTCATTGTGGTTTTAATTTGCATTTCCCTGATGATTAGTGATGTGGAGCATCTTTTCATGTGTCTGTTGGCCATCTGAATTTCTTCTTTGGAGAACTGTCTCTTCATATCCTCTGCCCATTTGTTAATTGGGTTATTTGCTTTTTGGGTGTTGAGGCGTGTAAGTTCTTTATATATTTTGGGTGTTAAC